GTCAGTTGGAAAAGTATAAGTATCACATGATCTCACTCAATTGTGGTATATAATGAACAACCTGAACTGATGAACAAAAACAGAGAGTCAGAGAAGCATCGATCAGATGCTCAAACCTCAGAGGGAGAGTAGGGGGTGGTGGGGGTACGGGGGAGAGATCAACCAAAGGACTTGTATGCATGCATATAAGCCTAACCAATGGATACAGACAACAGGGGGTTGAGGGCATAGGTGGGAGTTTGGGGGGCTAATAGGGGGATGAGGACACATATGTAATAATAAAAAAATATGTAAAAAAACAATAAAGATTTAGAAGAGAGAAAAAAAAGGAAATAGGGTTCTCAATTATACGGACAAAGATAAACTAACGCCCTAATGTATGGGAATGGAAGGCTAGTGATTGTTTTCCACACAAATGCCTGAGTTACCCTCAGGCTTACTAACTGAAATCTATAGGGAGACCTGTGAATCTGTATATTCACTAAGTAGCTCAAGTGATTCTTATGCTCAAGCAAGGTTTAGAAATATATTGTTAACAGCCATTAACATAAAGTATAACCAATGCTATTCATGCTGTTTTAAAAGATATTTAATATTTGCTTTTGCATATAGAATTTTTTGAAATAAAATTTTCTATTTTATGAAAAAGGTAGTACACACACATGTGCTAAAAATACGGCAAGAATTCAAAAGTGAATAAAGTATAAATTAAGTCTTTAAAAAAAAGACTTAAGTGTAAGTCATGAAACCATAAAAACTTCAGAAAAAAACCATAGACAGAAAAATCTCAAACATCTCTACTAGCAATATGTTTGCCAATACATCTAATAGGGCAAGGGAAATTAAGGAGAAAATAAACAAATGGGGCTACATCAAACTAAAAAGCTTCAGCACAGCAAACGAAACCATCAACAAAATGAAAAGGGAGAGGGCGCAGGCTGGGCTGAGGGACCTCCCCATCTCCACCCACCCCACCCACCCACAGTGCACGAATGTCATGTACTGGGCCTCTAGTATTTTTAATAATTGCTGCAAAGGTAATCCTGACTTACTTTTGCTTTTCAATGATAGTAGTAGAAATAGTCTCAGTTATTGGACTCCTCCAAACTTACTTACGAATCTCAGAGGGAAGGCAGGGCGGGGGTGGGGGGCAAAGATTAACTGGGAAACATATGCATATATGCATAACACTTGGACACAGACAATATCCTGGTGAAGGCCTGGGAGGAGTGAGTGTTGGGTGGAGGGGGTCAATGGGGAAAAAGGGGGAACATCTTTAATACTTTCAGCAATAAAGATACATATTTAAAAAGACAATACAAAAATCAATGAAGCCATGAGCTGGTTCTTTGAAAAAAATAAACAAAATTTAT